GTATTACTCGTACGTTTATTTAAATTATGAGTCATTTAGAATTATATATGTTCGAAGCAAGTATATTTTTTTAGATCGATAGTCTTTGAGTAGTGTCCTATCTAGCTACTAGATATCTACCTACTTAAACCATTCGATGTAATCCTTCAACTGAAATAGATGATAGGTAGGTACTAGGTACCTACTACCCAATAAAATTTAATTTAAAAAACAACCCATTGTTGTAAAACTAATTGATTGGTACCTATATATCTACAGTTATTTAGAACCTAAAATTTACATTTTAGGTGTTTTCATAAACATGTAATATTTATTTAATTTCTTTAACAATTTATTTGTGATGCCCGAGGTAGGTACTTACTGAAGAAGATAAAAGGTAAGATTTCATCTATCTAAATAACCTGTTTTTGTTAATGTTTGATACTAAAAGATGAATAGTAATAAAGTAGGTAATACCATTTTATATTTTTAGAATATTATATTAGTTTATACATTTACTAAAATATAAATGTAATTTTTTTGAAAGTTACATTTCTTGTGCACCGTGGCTTTAGTTTTTTAGAATAGGTACTTTGGATAAGTAATGGCTATATTAATATTATTTTGCATAGGTAATAGTTATTATATTATTGTTGGATACCTATTAATTGACTATATAGGTACTGAGCGCCACATCATCAGCGCAATCAGGGGGGGGTTCTCCTGCGCATTGGACCGTAGGTATTATTACTATAATAGTACGTTATTATGGGGAATCAGGAATCATAAGTTCCTACATGAAAGTAGCAGGTAAAAAATTACATACGTTAATTTTTACATGTGAGATGTGCATAAGTTCTTAGGTATATATATATATAAGAAAAAAAATATATATAAAAATGTATGACAATTCCAATTGATAACGGTCAGGCTGATTTGGCTCAATTTTTTTTTGATTGTTCTTTATATTGCTAGAAGGTTGTTACGAATAAAAATTTTGCTATAAAAAATTTTTTGATGATTTATTTTTTGAGTTCCGTAATGTTTTTTCGAATTGAAAAAGCTGCAGTAAGCTTTAGCTTATAAAATTGACCATATGGCATAATTAATCATTAAAATGTGGCTGTCGGCTGAGTTACGGCCGCTCATTGGCATGTATTCATTCAAAATAGTTAATAAAATTAAAATTCAACATATTATTCATGTAGAGTGTGCACCTAGCGAGGTCCACAATCCACTGCAGAGTGTGGATTGATAGCCTATCTGATAATATACTACTCACAATACTCACATTATCACATGCGAGTCTTATATAGAGTCTAGGACCAGCTAGAAGAGATATAATAAAGATCTTTGTTTCAACACGAAACTACGATAGTTATTGCTTATTTGTCTACTGACGATCGTACGTAGCAATGGCTGCAACCGCTAAATTTATGATGTAGGAATACTTGCCGACATTTTAAACTACAAACTAACATAATATTTTTATTAAGTCAAGAGTCGCATGGTAAACACCGAAAAGCTCAATTATATAAATTGAGTTATCAAAAAAAAAAAATACTTTATTTATCGATATGCGATAAACATGTTAACTAAACAAATTATAATTATAACTATTGAATCATTTTTAAATAATAACATGTGTATAGAATCATTAGAATCATTTATAAATATTATTATCATTATTTTTTCAAAGGATTTTTCAAAATTAGACCTCTAAGGGGGTAAAAAGGGGGTTTTTATATAGCTATATAATACACGGGCAATGCCGTGACGGGACAGCTAGTAGAATTTAAAAATGATGTATGTTAGTTCGTATATAGTTAAAAAAGGTGCTTATGAACAGTGTTCCTACACTGCAGAAAAAAATATTAAGTAGTAGCTGATCCTGTTCACTTCGTCGCCCGTTAAAAATGCCAACTCTATATGATTCTAACATTTGTTCAATTCGTTTAATATTTGGTGTACCTAATAGTATTCGAAACTTAAAAAAAATTCATCGGCCAATTTGAATCTCAAAATAGGTTCACCTACTTGTGCACCACTTTAAATGCTTTCTTAGGGCACTGTGCTCACTTACATGGTGAGACGGAGGTATCGTGAAAATTGAAAGCCCCAAGCTATAATTGTTTAGGCTCTACGTTGATCAGTCAGTGAGACAGTCAGGATACGTTCGATTATATTAAATTATAGCCATTTATGACGAGTGTTTATGGTTAGACGATGCGAGCACGTAATTAAGAATACTTATTAGTTATTACTTAACACCCTGAGTGCCAAGGTGTTTATGCTGTCTACTGTTTAAGTTCCCGGGACGAAAAATTAGCGTTAGGAACAGCTAGGGATGTCCTGAACGAAATAATTAGAGAGGTGAGACGCCAACTCAAAAAAAATGTCCTCGCATCGCTCGGAAACTATCTCCTACCTACCTACATAGTAATCAGCAGACATACTTTACATCATATTACATACCTAGTATTAAATATTAAGTGTGTTTTCTATTTTACTATCTTTTTTTTTATTGGATTAAGGCTTCAACAACTAAGGTCATTAACCTGATACTGTGTGTGTGTATGGGGAAGGGGGGCGGTTGGTTGGAATACTACTATCTTTAATATATATTTTTTCATTACATCTTGACTAGTATATTAGAATAAAATATTTTCAATAAGACAATAACAAAATGTATAACACTGTTGCTTATTGATTATACTATAATGGAATGATTAGAATGAATAATGACAAAAATTCAAGATAACCATACATTCAATAGCAATATTAATTAAATAGTAAATATTGTCAGTACTGACTTTATAATATAAGCAAATACTATATAAGTGAAACAATTTTAGAATCTTATCAGTTATAACTTAGTCGATGTCTAGGTGATGTCTAGCATTACTTTATAAATAGAAATATTACAGTCGTCAGCGCACAACAGTTTCTCATCAGTTATCATAACAGTATTATTAAAGATACCTACCCAATTCAAAGTTTATACGAATGTATAGGCAAATTTGTAATTTGTAAACTGTCATAACTTATAATATTATATAATATGTACATTGTTAAATGTTAGGTACTTAAATATTATTTAAGCATTTGTGTTGGATAGTTGGCAATCGGAAAGTTTTTTTATATTCTTTTATATTATCATAAATCACAATATATTATTATCACATATTTGTACTTTGTAGAACTTACAAAATTATTTAAAAACTGTAAAAAAAATTTATAATTTTCCAAGTGCCAACTCAAATACTAAATGTATCAATGTGCCAACTGATATGTACATATTGTACGCTTTGGGGGAGGGGACACCCCCTACAACACCCCTTCGGGACGGCCCTGATTAGGAATACCATTTTTACTAAGTTATATAGTTTTGACCAAGTATAAAATACAGGACTACAATATTATATTCAATCATAATGACTATTTTATTTTTTGTAGTCAATAGCAACCTTATAAGTTATAATAAACAAAAAATGTTATTATTTAGTTTACTTTTTTGCTGGACAGATTAGAAGATGCCACTGTTGTATTTTTGTCTTCCAGATTTTCTACATTTCTTGTGGATTTTCTTAAAAAAGTCTTTCATACAGACATTTTCCTGACAATTACGAACAACAAAACAATTAGACACATCGGTCAAGCCATTTTTTAGTTTTAGCTAGACTAACAAACAGCTTTTCATTTTATATATGTATATAATTTATGTTATGTAATTATATATTTAATTTTCATACATTTTATTATTCAACATACCTAATATAATTCTATATTTTATATAATAGCATGAGTTGAAAATAATATAATACATTTATTTGAATTGACTCAACGATTTTTTACTAAATAGTAAATACTGTCAACTCGTTTATCAGCCAAATTTTGATGTATCAATGAACCTAATTCTAAGTTATACCCAATAAGAGAGCAATGGAGCATTTTGAAATTCTCTAGTATTCTTATGAAAAAAGAATACCCAAATCTCTAATTGAATCCACTTGATTAATCAAAATATTAAACTAGGTTTTTTTTAGTAAAAGGGATAGCATTGCATTTATTAATATTTACTGGTAATACATTTTAGTGGTATCATCTAATGAAATCTGTATAAACTGTATAAATTTAAAACCCGCTTTTAATAAAGAAAAATTAAGTCAGTATAAGTGAGTTAATTCGTGAAAATAGATTTTTTAGGTCAAAACCAGCATCATGTTTATTAGGACAAATATAATAAGACGGTAATTTTTTAGTCATAATGGTTTCAAATAGTTTTAGGACAATAAACAATTTAGAAATTAGTCTAAAGTGAACAACATTACTTTTATCGTCACACTTATAAATGAACCACCTATTTAAGAAACGACATAAGTCACAAAATATCACAAAGAGATATTGAGTATTATGTGTTATCAAATGATAGACGGATCATGTGTAAACATTTGAAACACAAATATTTTATTTTACCAGTGTAATTAATCAGTAGATATGAAAGAGAAATAACCATGTATCACTGGTAGTGTAAAAATAGTTCTTTCTTGTTTTCTCAAAATTACCTCTATGGATTTATGTTGTTTTTTAAATAGGTGGTTCAAATAGGAACTGTATAAGATGTTTTCTATTACATATTGATAACAAGCTAGTAGCCAAATACAAATTAAATAGTTCATGCAGTGGTTTGGTAGACATTTCTGTATTACTCCAAGATGAAAGGCGCACCTACCATCATCAATTCATAACCCACCAGCCAACTAAAGATATAAAGATTAAGCAAATGCAAAGCATTGAAAATCTCATTCTCACTAATAATATACTACAAAGATAGATTTAAGTTAGAATTAATGATTTGTGTCATAAGTCATAAGCATAACTATTTGTAATCATATTTATATAAGAGGCAGAAGGTGAGTTACACTAGAAAACAATTGAGCAAATAATTGAGACTCAATGAAACTACTGGCAGTAATAATGTATGAATATAGACAGGGGAACCATACACAATTTATTGAACATTTTTTTGTTAGTCAAAGGTATAATTTTATTTAAATACAATTACATCTGAATCAATAATAAAGAAGTGATATTTCACCATATTGGTATTACCTACTCTTTTAAACAGTGTTAGAGAACATAATTCTTTTTGATTGAGACTGATTTTAATTCCAAGTATTCCTTTAGACCTTCTTCTCCCCTGTAAACAGTAAAACAGTAACAATTAATTGAATAATGTTTAAATTATGTTTTAACAGAAAATAATATTATCATTATAAAATACAGTCCTTGTTTCACTAAAAATCTTAAATATTAACTATTGTACAATATAGAGATCTTACAATTCTCTTCCTTGTCCGGACTGCTTAAACCCTCCAAATGGACATTGGACACTAATAGCATCATAGCAATTAACCCTATTAGGTAACAACAAACAATAATTATAAGTTAAATTATTTGATGAAAAATAACTTTGCTGTATGCTTATATTTTAGAATTGAATTTGGTATCACTGACACATATCTCAAAACCTTCAATATTTGTTTTATGTCGATACATTTAAAAATTTAAAAATATGATAACATGAAATAAAAACTTAACAACTTAAATTAATTTACCAAACTGAACCAGCATTAACATTATCTATATACTCCATTGCAGTATCCAAATTGTTAGTTAATACTCCAGCAGCTAATCCATATTCAGTGTTGTTAGCACGTTTTATCACTTCTTCCAAAGTTTTAAATTTAATAATCTGCTGAACTGGCCCGAAAATCTAAAAAAAAAATGTTAATGCAACACACATTATCTTCTTTTGTAATATTTACATTGTATATGCTAGTGAATAGTACATAATAATGGAATTTAATTCAAGTTACTGTACTGAATAATAATAAAATAGTACTAAAATTAAGTCTTCCATTCTAAAAATTAATAAATGGAATTGTATATTTACTTCTTCTCTAGCGATTTTCATGTTATCAGTCACATTTGAGAATACAGTAGGATACACAAAATATCCTGTATCACCTACTTTAGACCCACCAGCCTCTACTTTAGCTCCTTCTAATTTACCAGATTCAATCATACTTAAAACTTTGTTGTATTGTTCTTCATCTATCTAAAAACATTTATAATTATATTATAATATGTCATAATATTATCACCAGTATTTTTAGGCAAAAAATATTCTAGAATAGCGAGTAGAATACCTATGTACATAGCTTCTACATAATATGTATGATTTTTGTTCATACAAAATAAAATATCTTAGAAAATGGTAGTTTTAAAAAATGTAATAATAGAAATGATAAATAATAAATATTATGTTATATAAAATATTCAGAAAATTATTAAATAATTCAGTAGATTGTTTGATTATGCTTCAATCAAAATAGCTTAATCATTAAGCCTTAATAACCCGTTACAATAAAAAATGTAATCACATTTTGAGAACAATTTTAATTATATTATTTAATATTTATGAAATATGCAACTTCTATACAACTATCTTGAAGTATCGATTAAGGATAAAATTTAAGCTTTACAAGACATTGACATATTTAATTTTCTTATTTAAGTAGTATTAAGTGTTGAAGAGTATGCATGAACACTAAAATGAGCATATAATATGAAATTAAGAATTCATATTAAACATAAATAAAATATGCAGTACAATAAAAGTACATTTTATAAGCTTACCAGAGGGCCAATTTGCGTATCAGCATGAAATTGGTCACCAACTTTCCTTTGCGAAGCTAAGCTAGCAGCTTTTTCAACAAATTTTTCATAAATACCTTCTTGGACAAATGTTCTAGAACCAGCACAGCAATTCTGACCCATATTGGCAAACACAGCATCATGAGCAATCTTAGCAGCTTCGTCAACTGTATTTAAATAAAAGCCACAAATACAATATTAAAATAAACTGCAAACTTAAAAGTTGTAAAAAAAAAATTTTACCATCAAAATCATTGAATACTACTAGAGGACTTTTGCCGCCTAACTCTAATGATACACGTTTTAAATTAGACTTGGCTGCTTCTTCCATGATTAATTTTCCAACCTTATTTTGGACATACATTTATTTAATTGACATCACATAACAAAATTAATCATATTAATTTGTTTAGAATTTACTTCTGTCGACCCAGTAAATGCCACTTTATTTATGTCATGATGGCTAGCTATAGCTTGACCTGCAGTTGGACCATACCCAGGTACAACGTTAATGACTCCATCGGGAAATCCTGCCTACAAAGAAAATTAATAAGTTATGTATATATAAATATAATAAATTGTCATACATTATTTATAAATGTTATTTTACTTCTTTTGATAGTGCAGCTACGTGCAACGCAGTGAGAGGAGTTTGTTCAGCTGGTTTAAGTACAATTGTACATCCAGTAGCAAGAGCTGGTCCCCATTTCCATGCCAGCATTAAAATTGGATAGTTCCAAGGTATAATTTGTCCAACAACTCCAACAGGTTGGCATTTAGTGTATGTAAAATATGGCCCATCTATAAAGATAATATGTATTCAAATAAGTTAATAAATAATAATAACTATTCATAATAGTGAAGAAAATTAATATGCCAGAAGAGAAACCTTTTCAGAGAAGCATTATTATGCCAATACCAAAAAAAGCAACTGCAAATAAATACAATGATTTCCACACATTGAGCCTTATAGTGGTAAATTATAATGAAAATAAAATGTATGAGAACTTAAAATAATATTGAAGACCAACTTAGTTATGGCCAGTATGGCTTTCAAAGGATTGGGGGAACAAGGAAAACAAGACTTACTCTGAAAATTCTAATGGAAAAATAATCAAAAGATACTGATGCGATCTGTTGGGTGTCCGATGGAGACTGCAAGCCGTCAGGTTATTAGAATGGATATTTGGAGGGTATATTTCACTTTGGATAGCAGCACTGGAGGATTTAATTTATCACCAGATATTTGGTGGTAAGTAACACACCACCAAATGATTGTGTTACCACGTCAGTGACGCATATAATATAAGTATAGTTCACAATTATTATGATAAAATGAGATTTGTTATTATGATATTATAACTACTATCCACCATAGTGATCGTGGTTGCAGTGGGTGTATGAAAAATCAAACACGGGTACAGTAATATGGCAGTAACAGATGGCTAAACGGACAACATTCGGTACTCAAGAGAAAGGCTGTACCCTAATCCCCAGTTGTTGTGACAAGGGTACCGGTTGTCGTGTCCTCTCGTGTGCTTTCCACCAGTAGTTAAGGTAAGGTAGCAAGCATCCCCGTTGTTTGTCATAATACATTCCTCAGGTTTGTATCAATACATTCATTGGGTTTGTGGACCAGACTTTACAGAAAATAGTAATTGACTTTAGGGATCGGCAACTGATATTTACATGAACCATTCAGCATAAATAAGAATAGAGGACATATTAGTGACATAAGAAAATAGGAAGGACTCTACAACCAACCTCTAGATTGAACAGCAAAAAGATAAAATTAGCAAAAATGAATTAGAAAAGGGCAACGCTGTTCCCTTACTATTCACTTTACTCTAATTGTTGAAAAATAATGTAACAAATTTTCAAACTTTTGGAATTACTATATTGCACGTCAAAATATTCGATACTTAAATAATTTGCATGTAAATTGTAGGTTACATTTGTGATTTCGACTCTATTCATATTATCAAATAATTTGTTAATACCCATTAAATCACACAAAAACATTTCCCATATTTTATCTTTGTAACTTGTTTGTGTGAAAAACCGTCAAATCCTTAAAATTATATAATTTAATCATACTTAAAATTGTAATTTAAAAATAAGTAGATATTCAAATACAATTTGTGTAAATGCAAGTTTCCTTTTATGTGAGTAATAGTTAATAGTCAAGTACACATTAATCCAAGATAATGATTTCAAAAACTTGTTTTCAAAAACAAGAATTTAAAATTAAAATTTTTTTTAGTATAAAATAAATAGTTGGTAAATTATTTACTAGAGTAATTAAATAATTAATACCTGCTGGAATAGTTTTTCCATGAATTTTATCAGCAAATCCAGCATAATATTGAAGAGTTGAAACAGCCATATCTATGTCCAATAATGAATCACTAAATGGTTTACCATTGTCCAAAGATTCTAAATTTGCTAAATGAATTTTGTGTTTATCTATTAATTCTGATAACTTATACATCAATTTGCCACGAGCAGACGCGTCCATTTTACGCCACTTAGAATCTGATTTAAATGCAGTTTTCGCTGCATTAACTGCCAAATCAACATCATCCTACAATAAAATAAATAAGTTATTTGTCATTAATTTTATTTAAAATTAATTAAAGGCATATATATATACAAATTAGATATTATACATGTATATAAAATGTATTACATTTATATTTGTGGTTCTATATCAGCACACCTATATGGCTATATGTATATATTGAATAGTGAATACTATTATATATTCTTACTTTATCAGCTTCGGCAACGTCAATAATTTTGTTTTTATTTGCAGGATTGATAGTAGGAAATGTTTTTCCACTTACTGAGTTTACAAAATTATTGTTGATAAATATCTGAAAAAATGTTACAAAGATATTTGGTTACATCAAAGGATTGAAAAAATGCAATTAGCAACTTCTATAGATAATGCCATAAGAACTAATAAATTATATTTGTCAAACTGAATTTTTAGTTTTTAGTAAATATTCAAATAGGTTATAAGCCTATAACTTATAGATTTATCAAAATAAATTTAAAAACAATTTACTAGTTATTATTACATAAACATAATATAATAAATAAACAGAAACTTTTAAAAATAAATATAAGTAATGTACAGTAGGTACTCCATATTTACACATATTATTGTAAATTGAATATGTAACTCAAAATGATAGCAAAGTAATTTTTGATCTAACTGATTTGAAAATTGAAATATTAAAATTTATAAAATATAGGTACCTGATTATATAGAACTTCAACACTCGGATTTGCCATTTCTAGGTGTAGCTGAATAGTTATGTAATAAATATAACTAGGTACTTAAGTAAACCGGAAATTTAAAAACAAAATTGTATAAATAAATAATAGGTATAAAATGAGATATTCTTAAAATTAAATATAGTTATATAATAAATTGTATTGTTGTTGTACAAAAAAATACTAAAATAAAAGTCATCTGTGAAACAACTACAACTGCAATTAATTTTTTTATGGTGTGACGTAGATGCCAACACTTGGCTTGGTGAGCAAATAACAAGATAACTATAGTCTATAACAAAATAATAAAATAATAATAATTTAACATTTAAATTTATTTCTAATACATTAACATAGGTAGGTAAACCACATATTATCATATATTATATAATTATACAGAATAAAACCTACAACTCAATACTACACTAGTGAGGTAATAGATTTAATAAAGTTAATAACTACTAATAAGTTAATACCACTTATACCTAAATACCTAATTAAAAATAAGTAATTAAAATTCAAAATAATCAGTTATCAGACATGCTTATAGCTTATCTACTATCTAGCAGACGGCCGACCTTCAACCCGAACTGAAAAACAGAATGAAGTGCCTCGAGCGCGCCAACCACATCGATGGACTAAACAACTCGAAGATAAGTGTAGTCTGTTCCACGAGAAAAAGGTACTGTTCCGAGCATGTAGAGTGTAGACTGAGCTCCAAACAGTCCAAACGTCCTCTGCCGAACCATCGAATATATGTGAAATCTACGTGTACAAGCAGCACGATATTATCTCTAACCGTGATAAACAGGCACTTGTACCTTAATAACCTTATTACTTATCTTATTCTGTGCTTGTACACTCACTAATCCGACGTTGGCTAGCTCAGGTAGTCACGTATACCGATGTGGGAGGTGGGGGGATGCTCAAGAATGACCAGATTTCGTGGAGACGCGGTATCTAATATCTATCTCTTGACAGAGTGGTGACTGGTCGTGACTCGTGAGACAGACTACAATTGTATTTTACCAATATGTTAGAGCCAATTTCCCGTGTCCATTGATACAATTTTTGTAGTTGTGACATTACTCTTTAAAGGAATTTTCTATTTTCTATTTAAGAGTGAGTGAAAATATATCCCCCCTCCCCCCGTAAGAAAGGCCTGGGTACACCACTGTAATCGAACGAGTTCCCGTGACGAATATTCATTTGGTTGAAATGTTGAATATCTGCAGTCGTCAAGGAACAGTACTTTGTAGCACCCAACTGATTCGCTCCAGCATGAGCTCAGTATTCCTTCTTTAGATACGACATTTCCATTAGGCAGTCGCTAGAGTCTAGTGCAATAATACGTATAAAAAAAGGAACAAAAGTTACTTTATATTTACGAAAAATAATTCTATAATAATGAGTAATGACATAGGTAATGTATATATTTTTGTATAAAAAATATTATTTTAATGTGTAGATTGGTAGATGAGAAATTCGTAAAATTATCCACAAGTTGTATGTGCATTGTATAGAAAACAGTTTTTGATAATATATAATTCAACACGTTGAGCCTCGTTGGACTAGTCGGTGCAGAGCACATGTCGCGAGGGGAGAGCGTAAAATAGCTGAAAATATTTCAACGTTCAACCGATCCGTATTCCAGCCGAAAAATAATTTTTTGGACAAGTATATTAACAAAACCGTATTTCATCCGACAAATATAACAGCCGAGAGTATTTTAGTTAAATTTACCATTATGTGTTATCATAATAATTTTTTTTTTAATTTATTACAATATAGGTAGTACATAATATATTTACATGAATATTAATTAATATATAATATTATATTGCGTAAAAGTACATATAATGTTCAACATTTCAACAATCTTTTTGAAAATGAAAACATCTTAATCAATGGATCTCGATGAATTAGTCGCAAGTAATTGATCGCCGGTTAGGTACCTAATGATCGTACTAATCATATAATTAATATTTTATACACACATTTCCAAGTTTTATGTTTATAATTGTAGAAGATTTAAATATTCTTAAATATTTATTTTTAAATAACGGACAGTTAATCCAATTTACAATGTGATCAGGGCCGACTCAACAAGTTTGTATTAGTTATATCCGATATTTATCTTTAGTATTGAGATGTATCAGATTCACGAAGTTGATATTTTTCAAGGTATTTTTCATTATTTCCCTCTACTAAAATGTATTCAACTTAAGTTCTACCGAACTGTAAATAGTATTGAGTATTAATATATTACAATTATTAATAAAAACAATTTTGTAGCTATTTTAAAGTGTTAATTTATACTATATGCTTAAAAGTAAATCAATTTTTTTTTTCAATTTTAGGTTTAGGAATTATGTTCGTTATCATTATTAAGAAACAACAAAGTAATGTATTCATTCTATCTTGTCAGAAATATAAGTTTCACTAATCAAGAAACTATGTATTTTTTGATCATGATTTTTTATTACCCTACCTGGCTACCTCATTAAGCCCAACAAAGGTAAATTCCCAAATTTAAAAAAAAAAACAAACATTTTCACTAAATTAATAATTATTTTTAACAAAAAAGAACAGTAGTTTTTTTGGTAAGGCATGATAAAATAATTTTATTTTTTTATTATTGCCTATTATTATGATTTTGGTTTTAGGTTGTTATCAATAAGAAATAAGAGTGTTATGCCAGAAAATGAATGTGTATTGTTGCTGACTGTATAGTGTATACATACAAATTATACTATTTAAATTAAAACCATAATTAGAATTACAATTGTATTATTCTAATAATTTAAAATCAACTAAAATGTGATATATTTTTAAGAATTACTATATTATAAGTAATTAGTAAATAATTGTTATATTGTGGATTCCTTTCCGTTTAAATAATCATCCAAATCAACTAATAAAAAACTTAGCCACTCCCAGAATACCCGGAAATCTTCCTAGACGTTTGAAATAAGTAGTGTCGTGAATCGTGAATTCGTGATCTCTTAAACTAAATTAAATGACGTTAAATTGAAATAAATATTATCAATGGGTGGCTTCTTTCAACAAAACCACATGTTAACTTTTATCGCATATTCTTATTGTGTGTAGTAGTATTACGGATACAGATTGTTTTTTAATTTAAAAAATGAAAAAAACTTAAATTGTATTATTATTCATTAAAATTTCATTTTACTTTACACTAAGACTATACTAAAAATTAAATCTTATTGAATTAGATAATATTAATACTTATATAAATCCATTGGTAATTCTAATTAATTGAACATTAATCTATCTAATCAATTGACTTGTTTTATTTTATTTAATGACATTTTTAATTCTGCGATATCTATTACATGAGTATACCATAGAGTAATGGACAATGGTAATTACTCTATGAAGTATACAGTGTGTCCCGCGAGGATTTACCCATTGCGATATCTCCTGAGATGATAAATTTATCATAAATTTTTTTTTTTTAGGTTCACAGAGACAAAAGTCAAAGACTACTTATAATTTATTTTTAAATTCAATTTAAGTTTTTGGTAAAAAAAGTCCATTTTGTAGAGTTTATTTTTCTGAAAATGTTGACCTTTCAATATTCTATTTTCATTAATTACATGATTTTTTTAGTTTGTAGTTAAAACGGTAAAAAAAACTAGTTTTATCCGGAAGGCAAGTTCCCTTCTACGGCTAATGGGTACATTCAATGATAGAGTAACTCTATGGTATATCCTCACGGGACACTTTGTGTAGTGTATGTTATGACATCTGTCAAGGGTTGACTGGCAATGTGGCGATAGCTATTTGGATTTTGGACCAATATTTATAATTTGAACTAATTTGTTTTGTTTTAAATAATCGGCGACGGCCCCGGAGGAAATTCGAAATCGGCTCACTTGCATTTTATTTGTCCAACTACCCATATCCGCACCTAAAACTTGCAATAATATTGTTGAATCTGAATCACATAACATCGAAACCGCTGTCTGCATCGAAACTGCAATAAAAGACATCATTGAAAAGATCACAAATGAAATAGAGTACGAAAATATCCAAACAGAGTTAAGAGTCTTGACAATTACGACGAGGACCCAACCGTTAGAGACACAGCGATGCTCCTAGGTTACGCGATGAAGTTTGCAGGCAGCGACGAGGCGTCAGGCGTCGATCATTGGCCAACCAGACGAAGAACCCTGGAATGGACTGGAGGAGCCGAGAATAGAAAACGCCGAGGTCACGCCGTCGATCACCGACCAACCAGACAAAGAACTCTGGAATGGACTGGTCGAGCCGGTAATAGGAGACTCAGTGGTCGCGTCTGTTGAGGCGGTAGTAGAGCAATGTGACGAGGCGGTTAGGACGTCACACCGGCAAGGGGACCTGAGGTAAAAAATAGTTTCGGAGATTTCATCGGTTGGCTGGACCCCGGGGCAAAACCAATAGTACTCACGGAGTAAGCGCGCTCGGACGACGGCATTCGTCTCCGCCGCGTGAAGGGGCATCAGAGGAGCCGTACGAGTATTGTGTTGTTGCTCCGCGAAGTGAAGGCGTCTGAAAGTCCCCGGCTCCTTTGTCGAGGTCAGCAGACAAGGCGAGGCGACGTGGGGTCGAGTATAGAAGTACGCGAGAGTGCACTTTTAGGGCGATGGACGGTATGTCGCCAAGACACGTTCTCCGGCCACCGGCGGTCGGGCGGTGTCGAACGGGATAGCGGACGTCACGAGCTCGAGGACGCCGACACGTGAGACCCTCTGGCGGAGCGGCGGACGCCCGGCTGCTTAGGTCGCGAGCAACGACGCCGCCACACGGTACCAGTGACAACCATTATTTAAGATATATCTTAAATCGTGGTGACAACTGCAGTGCTGCACATTGCACAAAGATGACTAGTGGCGGGAACCGAAGAGCTCACGGTGGGTGGGTGATAGAAGACTATACTTAAAGGGTAACTAAGTACAGGGACGTTAGCAGCGCCGGACTCGAGGGAACGAAAAGTTTCAGGGTTCGGCGGTGGGCGACTCCACGGCAGTCTCCGATTCCGCAAGCACCACCGAGATTATAGTCTTCGACGCTCGCTCCAAGTTTAAGTCACCGTTTGTCGCCGGCACAACAGTCAACGTCTTCAGCACCTGCTGGACCGTCACGCGTACTGGCCGCTCGTCGTGGCCGGGCTTCGTCCGCTGCTATGGTCGTCTACGCGTCGCGAGCGAACACGCCCGCGACTCTTGTTCGCAACGCAGGACGGCTGTGAGGACTCTGTATTGGTACCAGTAGTCACTTACTTCCAGACATCATTTGCACCACCCATTTGTCATCACGTACCCCCCGCGTCACCTCTTCTTATCAGATGCCTTTTTTTTGTTTAATTTATTTTGTCTACTGTTTATTTTTGCAATTTTTGCTTTGTATTGCATTTCTTCATTCTTTCGACACACAAGTATACAACTAATTAAAACATTTTAATAGAGTTAAAAGCATTTTTATGGAACAATGTATGACTAATGTTATTTAAACATACTATTGTGAACATTGTTCAATTAAAAATACAAATTTTGTTTACACAGTAAAATGTTGTTTCTTATTTTACGTTATACAATTATAAATACGATTTTATTTATTTCAACAGAATAAGGTTTCATGAAGAAAATTAACCAAATTTTATTATTATTTAAGTACCAAATTTCAGAAGAAACATGCACTCATCTAGCAGATAATACTAGCAAACCTGTGAAGTGTTGTGTCGTTTGTTGTTATAACGTTTTAGTTAGCTATAATTTATACACTATAGACAATACTTATCCGATTCTTTATTTAAGTTATAAACTACCTTTATCATTTTCAATCACACTAGTGGGTTGTGAACAGAGTATTTCCAAATTAAAATATATTAAAAATTACTTGAGAAACTCAATTACTCAAGATCATTTAGAATGTTTTATACCCATGAGTGTAGAAAAATATATTTTAACTTCTATTAGTGCAGATAGTGTAATAAATTGGGGTTATAATTAATAATAAGGTTGCATTAAACAGTGAGTCTTTAAAAAAATTATTTATGTATTAACTAAAAAAAATAAACAAATCTGTACTAAGAGTACCTATATTATTTATTATATACCTAGTTTTGTATTGTGTTGTTATATCAAAATAATATGTTGCTCACTATAATTTTTGGGACACCTAGTTCAAATTACTTCCCGGTAAAATAATATAAGCTTATCCGCCACTGCTGATTATAATAGTCCTAGCTATCGTTGTTAATTACCTGTAGTTGTCGGGTGGCATGAACAATTATTAATTATCGAATCAATAGGTCAATAGTGAGGTAATGGTCGCTTAAACATGATTTAGCTACTTGGTCTATTAAATTTAATTGAAATATTAAATTAATAAATTATTCATGCAACCCGGTATGAATCTATTTTATAATAAATAGCTTGATGTTATAAAATATACAATACAAATAAAATAAAAACTACGCTACTTCGTTCCCATTCAGTATTCACAAAATGTATAAAAGTAATTTGTGTTAATCATAATATTTACTATTTTCTATTTTGTCAATACATTTTAATTATTAATGCCTATCATTCCTGAGCCAGATCCATAGATGATCATAATATGATCTAGCAGCTTAAATGCTTAAATGCTTTATGCTACTGCATTGCTGTGCCCTGTGGATAACAATTAATGATAAAAACACATATAGTTTATTACAGAGATTTTTAATAACTATTTAACTATTTAAATAACTATTAAATAATTATTTAAAATCTCTGGTTTATTATTATCTATATCTAAAAATTCTGTGGCACTGAGATAGATAACAGTATATTCTTATCATAGACTATGGTTCTTATCACGGGCTAAGATAGGCTATCTTTAATCGTGTTCTTATCTATCTCAATGTCTGTGGATAACATAGATAATAAAGATATGGATAGGCCACGCCTATGTTAAATACATTTGAGGCCGCGTTCCCGGAGGGGAAGGCAATTGAGGCTCCTTTATATTGATAGTCGATACTCAATATCATAGACCTTATACTAATAGACAGGAGATTGGTGTCGGTGGAGCGTGGCAATATAGAGGGCGCTCGTTCTTTACTCGTTTACTCGTATACGGTACCGTTACAGTTATCACTACGACACTACAACGATGGACTAAATAAACAAATTAATTCGTTTTAGTTTAGTTTACTTTACTTTACTTTACTTTTACTGTTTAATAAGTACCTACCTAATAACTGACAGTAGGTACACTGTACACTAACATGGTTTTCAAATGCGTTGTTCCAAATTGTGTCTTTTTAATTGTAATCTTTGATCATATGAATAAAATTTTAATATACTGTTATCACATATTTTAATAATTATTAATTATTCCGTACTCAAGAATCGATATTATAGTGTAGCTATAACATATATTATATATTTATATGTTATAAGTACATAATATTATAGTATAATATTGTATATTATTACAGTGTACAATAATTGTAAATATACACGCCTGCTGTCAAGACGGGCTACATCACTGCGACATGTTTCCATGCTTCTCATAATGCTAGCATTATAGGCAATTCATGTCTATTAGTATAAGGTCTATGCTCAATATAGGTATACTTTATTTGGCCTCAATTGTTCCCCTCGAAGACCGCTGATAAGACCAATATGGCCTATCCATATCTTTATTATCTATGGTGGATAAAAATCATTATCTGATTGATAACTCTCTAACAACTACCAACTACCAAGTTGATTTAATTTTCGGGCTAAATAATTATTACTTTTGGAAAAATTAATAACGGAGTATGGACTACAGATGAATTAAGATAAATATATCTTAGTCCGAAGTATTGTGGTAATAACTTATAACTATAAAATATTAGTGCACACTACTTAATAGTCAATTATACTCGTCGTTGTTATTGATACTTGATAGTATTAAAAAATATAATATGCTAGTATTTATATTTCAATTTTTTATTTTTAAAAGGTATGACAAAATAGATTTTGTAGAAAGCAAAAGTTGAACTGCTGAAAATATAAAATATGATATTGCTACTTCCAATAAGTATTTTTTTGTAATAACAATTTAAACATTATTTTTAGAACAACCAATATGCTTGTTGAACACAAGCTAATTTGGCTCTGAATTTATAAGGAATTAGTTTTGTTACAAGATCGTCGTTGTGGCCTTATAACCTATAGCTATTTCATGGTCTTAGAAGATATTTTCTAAGACTGTGCTATAGAACAGTCATTGATTAAATGTACAATATTAAAGTCTTATAATTATTATTCTTAAACCTCCCGCCATGGTTAGGGTACGTGCAACAGGTTAGGACGTTGGGTTTAAATTATGGTGCTAAGTGCAAATTGTATAGTAGGTACATACGTAAGTATTTTGGTTTGAATTAAAGTAATAATAGGTAAGCTTTATTATTAAATATTTTAATACAATTATGTTTGGAAAAAACAATTTTTTACATTGTTGGTACTTGGTTATCAAGTATATATTTTCTATGATCAAAACGTGAATTAATATTGAATTTGAAATCGGATTCTATTTAATCCGTGATTGAAATTAATGAAATTACATAATTATATCTGTATGAGTACGATTATTATTTTAAATTAAACTGCCGGGTTTTACAAAATTTGAAAAGACATATTTCATAGCCCGCAGAGCACAATTAATCGTAAAATGATCGAAACGATTTAATAAAATTCGATTAGGTACTATCAAATGTTACATCAATCAATTAAATACGAAATATAACTCCTTAGATCATGCTGTTAACCATTTCGTTTACGAAGTAAACAAATAAAATATTTAATTTTATTATTTTTATTGAAATGTACATTTGGCAACATTGGAAACCTTGAATTTTTATTTCTGTTTTGTCTATAAGTTTTAACAATAATTATCTCCGAAGTTTGTAAATTTGTATTTACCATTTAGTATTTTGTAATTGTAATCAACTCAAGCTGAACTTATTGATGAATTATTTCTTATTCGAACAATTTTGATACTATTTTTATTTATACATTTAAATAAATGTATTTAAAAGTCTTGTGTTTTCAGTTATTTTCTTTTTTACTGTTATAAAGCTAAGTATTATCAAAATATGATTGAATGTGTTCATGAAAGAAAGAACAACATGTTTGGCTCTAGCAGTAAACTAGATGTTGATTCTGCTGGTAAGAATTTTTTTTTTTTAACTAGGTAGGTACCTATTTTATACCTATTATAACTGATGAAGTAATAAATATTTACGGTTGAAGTCTAAAATGTCATATGACATGAACCAATCTTACATTATAAAGTATGTTTCTACTTAGTTTAATAGTGAAATGTAGACTGTGTGTGTCATATTTGTTTGTATAATTGACACCCACGTACAATAGTAAATTTGTTTAATATATTCATACCATTAAAATGAGTAATTTATTTTTATTTTTGACTGGAATGTGCAAATTAATTTCATACATATTTTTGAATTATAGGTAATTTGGCACACAGTGCTAGTGTTTGTAGTGACATTTCAAATCGTACCAAAATGGATATTGTATGCATCATAGACGTTGTCCAGTCTAGTAATTTGGCTCACCGTAAAAGAGCTTTAGAGGAAGTTAAACAAGCAGCTATGATTGTTAATGCCAACTTATTTATTGTTTCGGTAATCCCTATTGTTAACTTATTTTTACCCCTTGGAATCATTTATTAACATAAATTTATTTTAACAATAATTTTAGTTTGAGAAATTAGATTTTGGAGAAACTGCGGAGTTGGATACATTTTATAATGCAGATGTAGCTATAGTTGATTTGTCAATACAACTTCAACAAAGCTCATTGTTTTATCATTTGGGTTTACGTGAGAGTTTTGGAATGAAACAAAACATCATGTTGTATAATGATCTAGATACTGAAGTTACATTACGACTGAAGGTTTGTAATATTTAATTAATATGTAATTTAATTAATGTTGTAATTTTTTAAAAATTTTTTCTAGTTGTCGTGTGGTTCATATACATTTCTTTCATATAAATTAGCAGATTGTGGAACTTGTCTCACTACCAATACTTCATTTCAGGACGAAAGTGGTGGATCTGCTTTTGAACCTAGGGTACCAGTTACAGTAAAATTAAGAAAGTTGTTAAAAGATGTTGAAATTCAGACTAAGTATGATTATATAAAGAAACTATTTTTTTTTACTTGGTACTGTGTAAATATAATTAACAACAAGTTGTTATTTTGGGTTAATATAGAGTTCATATTAAAGAGAAATTTTTATCAGATTTAAGAAAAGCTAGGGAAAATTACTCAGGTGAAGAATTACGTAAAAAGTTGCTTATTATGAGGAAACGACTAGATGATCCACATGTGCTTTCTGGTGATGTAGTTCATACCATGTTGATATCATTTAGGGATGTACAGGTAGATAAATAAATGAATAGCTTCAATTGTAAATATATTGTCAAATATTTTAAAATTTGATTTTATATCAGGACTATGATGCAATGGTTCAACTTGTTGAAGATATACAAACTATTCCAAACAAGAAAAATTATGTACAAACACCAGCATTGCGATATTTATATCCTTTTGCTTTAAATAGGTAACTAAACTAACTTAAACATTTTTATGTAAAGGTTTAATTCTAATTTGTTTATTTATATTTATACTGTTATATGTTTAGACGTAACAAACCTGGAGATCGTGAAAAAGCATTGCAAGTAATTGAACTAGCATTGAAAAAGAAAGAAAATCAAATACCTGATATGGTTTGTTTATGTGGTCGTATTTATAAAGATAAATTTGTTGAGTCATCATTTGAAGACAAAGCTGCTCTTGAACATGCTATACATTGGTATCGTAAAGGATTTGAAGTACAACCAAATGAATATGCTGGAATTAATTTAGCCACATTATTACTTGTTGCTGGAAATGAATTTTCCAAGTCTGATGAACTTCAACACATTGGTATGTTAAAATGAACTACTGGAGAATAAAAATCTCTTGAGGGAAAACCCTAAAAAAATCCCGCGACCCCTGGGAGTCGCGACACATTGTTTGGATACCTCTGCTTTAACCTTTCGAGCATTGGGTATAATAAAGGTCTAAAATGTATGGCTTTGGATGACGGTGATAAGATACTGCAACTTCCTTACATTTTGTGTCAATCCTAAGCGTTTGAGACTTTAATTGATGTTTTTCAACTCGTCAAATTTTTTATAACAGCTATAGTGATAAGCTAGAAATACTATCTGGGTATATGATAATTGTGATTATTAGATAAAAATAAATTTTATATTTTTACTTTTTTTTACATTTTTTTTAAAAGGTTTTTAATAAAATCATAGAGCTATATAGACGCACATCATACTTGTAATCAATGGTCTAACTCTATAGTGAAATAAACTATAAACAACTCATTATGAATAATGCTTACAAACTGTATAATAATATATCCCTCATCCAATGGCGCTTTGTTTATACCAGCGGTTCTCAACCTTTTTGAGTTCTCGACCCCCTATAATGTCACCAAGATGTCCAACGACCCTTTTATAATGTAAGCATTAAAAAATTTAACCAACTGTTATTGTATTTATTTGTGTATATATTTTACAAAAAAAGGTATATTATGTACACTTCAATGAACGTTTTTATCGACTATCGGACTATACAAAAAAAAAAATATATATATTATCACTCTTACTATTAATTATAAGATTCTAAGTGAAACAATTTTTTTCCCACATGGATTGACGACCCTAAAATAATTGTTGGCGATCCCCCGGTTGAGAATCACTGGTCTATACCATTTTAATAGACTCGCTTAAGCAGTTTTCGATTTGCATTGTGCGCCTCAAAGTATAACAATGTGCGACGGTGTTAGGTGTTAGCATGGAGGCTCGTATGCCCTACTGTACCACTGTGTTATCAATCACTCAAGATGTCATGCATCCTATAAATAACTGATAACTTTTTTAAAATAAATTATTTGACTTGGTTTTGATCAAAAAAACTTTTTTTAAATGTAAGCAGTGCTTACATGTTCGCTTTGCCTCTGGTACCTATATGTTGTTTTTACATTTATTTAAGTTCAATTTATTGAAAAAAAATATATTTCTTATACATGTTACTGTAATACTTAAATGGGGGGGGGGAGGAGACATGGACTCCTTGTGCCTTCCTATAAATACGCTACTGAGTTCTACCACTGGAGTACACACAACTGAGTAATTCAATATATATTCTATCGTTTTAAATACAAATCAGCTAATCTCAGTATTTTATTTATATGAAATTGATATAAAATAATAATTTTAAATGTATACAATTTAAATATCATCAATAAACATATTTAATTAATCTAGTAACAATAATAGTAATGATCAAAACATTTTTTTATACATTTATTAATAGGAATGGTTTTAAACAATTTGATTGGAAAAAAAGGAAGTTTATCATCTCTCAATGAATACTGGGCTGTAGCAACATTTTTTGAAATTAGTGTATTAGCAGAAGACTATGGTAAAGCAATTCAAGCAGCTGAATGTATGTTTAAATTAAAACCTTCAATTTGGTAAGATAATTATATATAGATTGTATGCAACTATGCAAGTCTCAATGTACACTATTTTTTAGGTACTTAAAGTCAACAGTAGGAAATATAGAACTAATTGATAAGTTTAGGAAAAAAAGTGAAGAAAATGAATATACACTCGAAAAAGATATCTTTAAGTTTTGGATGGAATATTTTGTAGAGGCCACAAAAACAGAAATTGACGATACCATTCGTTTTCCTGTGAGGAAAAAAAAATAAATCTGTTCTAATGCTATAAGTTGTAAATAAAAATAATTTTAATTTTCAGATTTTAGTTTTAGAACAGTTAAAAGTATATATGCCTAGTTATGTTGTGGTGAACCTTGGTGCTGAAGAAAAATCTATCTTCCTATGCAATCAGTGTATAAAATGTACTAGAAATACTTGTAAACAAGTGCATAAGTGGTTGTTCGTTGCTAGTATGATAAGGAGTGTTAGGTATATTTACTTAGTTGTTAATGAATTACATTTTAATATTATTTATATTTTTATTTATTTATAGTTTATGCAAGATAGATGATAGGTGTTTATTTTTATATGTTCATGCAAACTCTGATGATTTTCAAATGTATTTTCCATCTTCTCAATATCGTCAAAAGTTTTATGATCTCGTTAAAAAAATGACAGAGGGCGAAGAGGGAATGATGAATAACTTAGATGAAGATTCAGCTGAAGAACAAATCAATGTAGGTTTTTGTTTTCTGTTACTGATAATAAATATCACATATTATATTAACATTAATTATTCAATTAATTGTTTTTTAGTTTGAATATGAGCTGAATGATTCACAGACAAAAAAAATTCTTGGTAAAGGAACATATGGTATCGTATATGCAGCTCTTGATCTCAACACACAAGTGCGAATTGCAGTTAAGGAAATACCGGAAAGAAATATAGGGTATTTACTTACTGAAGTTTAATTAAAATTTTGGTTTAATGTATATTTACATTTTTTTAATGTCAATATATTATTTTTCAAGTTATGTTCAACCACTGCATGAAGAAATAAAACTTCATTCCCAACTGTATCATCGAAATATTGTCCGGTATTTAGGGTCAATATCTGAAGATGGTTTTTTTAAGATAATTATGGAACAAGTTCCTGGAGGTTAGTTTCAATATTTGATTTTTATAATTCGGGTAAATGTTTAATGAAAAATTACTGGATTTTAGGAAGTCTTTCTGCTTTGCTACGTTCCAAATGGGGACCATTAAAAGGAAACGAGCCTACTATTTCATTTTATACTAAACAGATTCTTGAAGGATTGAAATATTTACATGATCAAAAAATTGTACACCGTGATATTAAAGGTGATAATGTCCTGGTTAATACGTATAGTGGTGTAGTAAAAATATCTGATTTTGGAACCTCTAAACGCCTTGCTGGATTGTGTCCTAGTACTGGAACTTTCACTGGCACATTGCAGTATATGGCTCCGGAAGTAATAGACAAAGGACAAAGAGAATATGGCGCTCCAGTATGTTAAAGTTATTATTACAAGTTCTATTAATTAAATTGAAAATCTAAATCATTTTGAATTTGTGTAGGCTGACATATGGTCATTAGGGTGTACAGTTGTAGAAATGGCAACTGGTGAACCTCCATTTACAGAACTTGGATCAGCAGTAGCAGCTGTATTTAAAGTTGGTTTTTATAAAACACATCCAGAAATACCGGTTGAACTCAGTGACCGAGCTAGCAATTTTATACTTAGGTGTTTTACTGTTGATCCAGATAAGCGAGCTACAGCTACTGATTTATTAGAAGATTTATTTATGAATGAGTATGCTTAATTAATTATAAATAGATTAGTTATCACCTTACATAAATCTCTTTTAAATTTCTATTGATATATAATTAGTTCCTAATTTTATCAAATTACTTAATTGATTTTACAATTAAATTGAAATATATTAGACTGTTACCATAATATGATGATGTTTATTTAAGGAAAAAGAAAACATCTAAAGCATTAATAGCTCCTCTTGAGTTTAATCGCAGTGTATCGGTACCAGTAGAAAAAGGGATAAAAACTAATCCAGCTTCAAGTAATCAAGAAAATATCAACAAAAATCCTAGTAAACAACGTGTATTTAAAGAAGACAGGTAATAAAATTAATTTATTTGTAATATGTAATGCTATGTAATCCAGTTTCAATATTATTTAATTGTATTACTAAATGATTAATAATCTAAATTATTTGAAAGGTTGAGGTTTTAAGCATGTTTTTTTTTCTTTAATTTCATGATTGTTCTTAATACTATAGTTTATATTAATCCTTTAATATTTAGTGTTTACCTAAAAACTTGAATTATTATAGAAAATATAATTACATAAATAAATTAAATCCTTATACATTTATTTAAATTCAATTCAGTTATGTTAATGTTCATTCTTTTATAACAGATTATCTGTATGAAGCCGCCAATTATTTCTTAAACATTTTATTCAAGATATTTTTATAATTTTGTTTTTTTTTAAAAATGTTTTTTTTTTACAAATTTCATTAATTTTTCTTAGATATGAATAACTTACCTTTTTTTCTGAATATTCAGAGGTGCGTTACATATTTTTAGCTAATTTTCTATTATTTTCCCATAGGCATGTATACTGTGCATAGTGTTTGTGTCTGACCTCTTTGGCAATGGGAGCAGACCTCCACATTTAAATTTACTTAAAAACTAATTTTTAGAATTATTTTGTGTGTAGTGGGGTAATTGATTTGGTACAAAGAACTTCCCAAAAAATTACTCTTAACCAGATATACAAAATTATTTCAAATATCCGTATGGTTTACCACTATGAAATACCTTGGAAACCAACAATGTAAGATCAAGGAATAAGTATTTAGGATAAAGTTTTATAATTATTAGTTATCAGTGAATATTAACTACAAGGTTTATAGGTATTTATTTATTAAAAATTAAATGTTTTGTGATTTAAAATGTATATTTGTGGTTTTAGGTATTGTATTTATTTGTCGGTCGATTGAACATTTGAAAAATAAATAACCGACAGTTTTTAAAGTACATGAAAATTTGTTTTTTGAGATATAATCTCTAATACAAATTTACAGGTACATTCAATGTAACTAATTGTGAATATATTTTCTATTTTAAGCTAGTTTATGTTTGTAACTTAAGAGCATATTATTATGAATGTATTAAAACCTCACATTTATAATCTTGCCATTGCACCTATTGTTAAGAAATTATCAACTCTTTAAACAGTTAAATCCTTATTGACCAGCATTAGCAAATAATATGTTAATTAAAATTTGCATTATATAACGTTGCTAATGACAAATGCAAAAAAAAAATGCTTCAGATTTATGCTACTAATGTGTTACTTAGTGAGGGCGCTTACATTGGAGTGTGTTTGTATACAGCTGGTTAACAATATCCCAACCCGAAAAGATCAAACAAGACCAGTTCCTTTCTTCCATCAGCTTACCAAACATGCAGTACTCTTACAACAGGTATATTTTACTCAATAGTTTAATAAACAAATATAATACTATAATAATATATTTTACGCACCAGAGCATTTAATTATTTAATAATAATAATAACAATAATCTATACAGTACCTGCAGACTGCAGTGTGTATATATATATTTGACCACCGACCTATATCGATTAATAACTCCCCGCGCGATTGCGTTTTTTTTTTTTTGCTGGTCAAACCCGTAAATAGTCTCGACGGTCAACGGTATAACAGGCGACAGTCTTCGGGTGCGTTGGCGTCGCCTGAAATCGACATGATGGGCACGGCGGGTAGCACAGCAGAGGCGGAACACGATGGGTTCTACAGGCTGAAAAAAGACTCGCAGCGGAGGACCACGCTGGCCCGGGTGTTGGTCCAAGACCAGGCCACGTTGGGCAAGGTGTGGCTTCAGTTCATACGTCGGGAGTTTGGGCAGCCCAAGCTGACCAGTGAGCACCTGGAGGTGTTGATGAAAGGTCTCCGGGATTACATCACGGACCAAAATAGGGACGTCGTTGAGCGGACCATATACAGCCTCAAGGAGCAGTTGAACTTTGACGCGGTCGCCGTACACCAGCTGCACATATCATTGTGCTTGTTTAAGGATGCGGTAACGAAAATTTTACGTATATCTAGTTAATCGTTACTATAGCAAAATATCGTCCTTCGGTGTGATGGCCCGAGGGCTATTATGTTCCCGCGAGTACACGAGAGATTGTCTTACGATTGTACTGTATAATATTGTGTGTGGCTAGTGCGGGTGAATTGGTTGTGCGATATGGCCCAGGGCCGGATGCTTGATCCTTGAATTAAAGACATTGTGGTTGTATAGGATTTAAAATCAACGAAATGACAAGAAAGTCATTTCTTAATAATAGAGAGTATCATCATCTGCATGGGTGTTGTCAATGACAGTTGACATAATATGATATAGTATGACATGTTATTCGGTACTCACTACTCGGTAGGTGTTCCATTAAAAGTTGGCACAGCCCACAATAACATTTAGTTTGGTCACCACTGTACCTGTGTAGCAACGCGACATGTCCACTGATGCAAATTCAAACTTCCCTATCTTACACCGTTGCCTTAATTAATTAATATAATTCAGGATGTTAGTCAGTGTGCATCTACATATGTTCCTAAAACTTGTTACAGTTTTATTAAGTAGTAATTAACAAATTTAATTCGTCTACGTTATTAGTTTTCATCAATTATGTGCCAGTAACATCAGTATTTACCACTTATGACTCAGATTATTTCATACCTATGTCGTTGTTGTTTCAGGCCAAGTCTGTGTTGCGGTTACACAATATTAAACCCCATTGGATGTTTACGCTCGACACGTTGGTGAGCAGTGCCGTGAATGCCGTCATTGCTGTCCTTAAGCCCGGTATTTATTATGCCTTAACGTACTTTGGCCATAGGCGTAACTAAACCTTAAAGTTAGGGGGGCTTCAGCACTAGCGTTTTTATTTTAAGTAAAATAAGTGGACTCTATAGATCATTGGTCAGTATCCTCTAGTGGTCTAGTCAGTATGTGGACGCTTGCTGGTGGGATAACCTTAAAGAACAGATAACATATTGTATTTTTACGTTTTTTTGTACTAATAATTTCCTTGTGTCGGCCTAACTATGCTCATCGGTCCCTTTGTCAAACTTGAAGGTCTATATTGAGTTTACAACATCGTATTTTTGGGTTCTTTCCGCGTAGAGTTCGAAGACAACCTCACGGCAAAAGATACCAAGCTAGACGGTAGCGACTTTTCCGCCATCACGGATGACACGAAGACCAGCTCGCCGTCGTTCAGTTCGTCAATAAAATCTCACAAGACCGACGACAGCTGTTACCTGGACGGTCCGTCGATGAAGAGTAGGCGTGCGATTATGTTTCAGGCCGAAAACCACAGGTAACTCGCCCCTCCCGTCTATTTATACATATTATATGTACTCAATATTAGTTATTCCTTATATTACGTGCCACGTGCCGGGCGTCATGTGTGGCCAGTGTTGGCATGGACTTTTTTTTTCCAATGAAGCGACTATTTAAGACGAGCAGCCGCTCACCAGTGGTGTTCGCCTGTTAATGTGGATGGCGGATTGAAAACTGTTTTGAACGCGTAAAATATATACATAAATATTTCTGGCATAAAGGGTCCTCAAAATCGGACCTTGCCCCCCCTCCCCTGGACCCCTCTGGCCCTCTCCTTAATCCAGACCGGGTCGCTTCATAAAATCCACGCCACCACTGGGGATGCCATAAGGGTGCATTTTGTGAAACGACGCTTAGGTACAGTGACATTATTAATGTCATGATGTTATACTATAGTAATTACGAAACGTATGCAAGTAAATAATGATTGTTTGTTTTTTATTTGTTGTACGTACAGCTAACATGGTTTATCTGAGGTTTGTATGTATATATTTTTTGTGTGTGAATGTAGTGATGATTTTCCTGTTCAAAACCCTCTTTACACATCCTGCCTTCAATTTTTTTTTTTATAGTTAGTGATATTTATTGGATCCAATTATTAAACGCATAGTACTTATTAATTATTACGCTAATTCAATTTATATAATATTATTTATTTATATATTATTATATTTTATATAATATTAGTATCTACTTATAGCAGCATAACATTTGAATACCTACTGTTTAAAAAAAAAAAACACTATAGGCACATATGTTGTGCATTTATAGTATAATTATTATTGATGATTGAATAATGATAGTGGTCAATTTCTCGTTAGTGTCACTCGAAACCATCAGCGATGATAATTTTTATTTTTTTCACTCAAATTACGGAATAAAATTAATATTTAAAATGTTCCTGAGTGCCCGACAAAAGCGTGACTATTTAATCATCAGTCATCAGTTCATCACTTTGTAAATCTCAAATGTCGGAAAATCCCCGTAAAATGGGACTTTGGTCATACTATGACAGTACATACAAATGTACTTTTCTTTTTGAAAATATCTCCGGGTAATATATATTTATTTGTTTACGTCTGTTGTTTTAAGTGTTTAATTGAAAATCATAAGGAAAAGGAATTTCAGAAAAACCGTATAATGATACAATTATAATAATATGACAATAACTAGTTTTTAATATTTTACCTACGTGCTTGTAAAATATAAATCACAATTATTAAATACAATTTGATTAAAATAATATAAGATCATTACAAATGTCACCAAATACGTTTAAAATTATTAGTTTATGACATTGAATTTAGTCTAGGACGGCAATTTTTTTTTTGGTGTGAGCCAAAAACTACGTTGAGATATTAGTAAAATATATACCTATGTAAATTAGGCGGTAAATTTATTTCAGCCTATGGGCGGCAAAAACCTTAATCTGGCCCTGAATTTAGTACTCTCAAGCAATTTTTGTATAAATGTATGTCTATTAACCCTGAATTTACTGGTATTTTCAAAATTATTTACATAATTAAAAAATAAATCTTTTATTATTTAAAATCAAATAAGTAATACATATTTTTGTTTAGTTTTTTTGCTACCTGTCTAGATACCAACATTAATGATATATTATGGTATAAAAAGTTTTTATTCAAAACAAACGTGATATTAATAAATAATGTTATTAAAAACTAAACCTCTTAAATTGAATAATAAGATAAGTAAATGAAATAACTACTAACTACTTGTTAAAAAAAAATGAACATTATAGATCTTGAAAATAAGCACGCTGGGGGGGGGGGAGGTTGAATGGGCTTTTTCTCAATTGCTTAATATTATTGCATCACTCATAAAATTATTGGTTACATTTTTGGTATGTTAATTTCTAGTCTATGAATAGTAAAAACACTAGCTACTCGATATATTGAACCTGTATTTATATTATAAGTTAAAATATTTAGTGACAATATTCAATACTAATATACTATGATTTGCACATTCGTTCAATAGGTAGGTACCTATTTTAATAGGTATATAGCCATATAGGTGTATACATAATATAATATAGCTACTAGTCTATAGCTATTTTGTAATTCCGTGTAGTCGCTAGAGATAATATTACAATGACTTAGTGTATAATTGTATACACAATTAGCAAACTGTATGTTAAATGAATCATTAAAAAAATTGTATTTGAATCTTATAGCCTAAAATATATATTTTTTTAAAATCACAATTTTTGAACTAAAGCTAGAAAGTTTAAATTACATTAAAATATTAAAGCCCTACGTATTCGTAATAAAGTCGAAACTGCGAAGTCAAAACTATTGTATATTGAATATTATTTTACTATATTTTGTTTTACATTGGAGTTTTGATTTAAATAGATTTCTAGAAGAAGTGTTGGAGAGTCAAAACAGTTTGCTGAAAAAAATGGTGGAAGATCAAAAGGACCTGATGTCCATGTTGAAATGGACTGCTGAACAGAACGCTGCCATTCGTGGCGATTACTGTTGTAGCTCATGTCGAAATTGCTCAAGAGAGTTCAGAGATTTCGATTACGAAAACAGTGCAGATGGCTGTTTCAAAGATCTGATCAAATGGCTTCGTGATATCGGTATTGACGAACACTCTATAAAAATAGTAAGTTTTTATATATTTTATAAGATTAAAACATATTATGTATGTCAGAAGTAGAGTTGAAATTCAGCATTTATTTTTGTAATTGTGTCTGTATAACACTATTTATATTTTATAATCATGAACTATTAGTTAATTTTGCCTATGATAATTTTTATCAGTTGGTCAATGAACAGTTTCTGTTGGACCAAATACAATTTGACGTCACAAGAGAAGATTTAAGAGATCTTGGGTTGAAGTGAGTTATTCTGTGACTGTCTGTAATTTAATATTTATTGTTTTAATGCAACAAATTTATCTTGTTTAGACGGGGTGTTGAGTTGAGGCTGTGGAAAGAAATTGAGCGGCACAGAGAAAACAACTTAATGTCATCTGGTGGGACACTGCCGTCTGTCACATCACAGCCTCTTACACCGTCATCTATTAACAATAATAATTATACCTGTGATACACTGCAACAACTGCAGTCAAGTCGCCGTATGAGCAATCACATTAATAATAACTATGTGTAGCAGTAATAATAACAGTACTGTGTTCCATGTGTCACACTTAAGTTACCTATCACCATTTATTCAAGTATAATATGAATAAATAGGTAATGTTTTTTTTTTGTATAATTATTACAGAGTTTACGTACGTAATAACATATTGATAAATTGTTAATGAAATAATTTATTCTAATTATATACTTAATAATATTATAACCACTATGTGCAATTTCCTTATAATTATTATGTTAATAAAAAAAATATAGTATTTTTTGTTATTTAAACGTGTGTGTAATACATCTTTAGTTAAAACACTATAATTATTATCAATTGTTATAATATGCACATATTATCATTGTTTATGAAGCCATAGTCATGTGGATGAAATTAATCATATTGATGACTGAGTATAATATTGTAACATTTTAGTTTTGAGTTGTATATGTGTTGATTCATAAAGATGTGTTTTTAATTTAATTTAATTCAAACTTTTGGTGTCTAAAGGCAGGAAAAATGTTTCAATTATCAACTTCAGTGGCACCTGCACGTAGTTTATTTTACATTTTTGTAATGTAACTTAAGTTTTTCTTGCCTTTTGTAAATGCTTTTAATTTGTGTTTGGGGTAACTCAAATAATACAGTAAAATATATTTTTATTCCCCTCGAGATTCATATTATTGAGACTTTGACTGTAGTTCTGTGGTATAATGATGACTTTGTTCTGAAAGGAGAGGGGTGAACAGTCCCCTTGCCCTTAGCCAGGATATGCCACTGCCTGTCTACATACCAAAAACAACAAAGTTATGGTGATCCTGTGACAGTACTGTCAATCTGAGTGACTTGGAATGAATTTAACATTATTTTTCTTTATCTGAGCTGAAAAAAGTAGATATTTGCAAAAAAATGAATTTGTTGCACAAGGCTCTAGAACTACTTCATTCTTTTTAAAAAAAATTAAAAAACTTGTTTCAACTGAAATTTTGAGTAACTCGAAACAATATGTTATAACAAATATCAAAACTAGATACAATAAAGTCATTTAGGATTTTTCTTGATAAAATAAATTTAATAAAGTTATCTTTTAATAAACAAAAGTACTTAAAATTAAGTATATAACTATATACCTAAATACTAAATAAATAAAATAATAGTACCTAATAAAAAAAAAAAAAAATAATAACTTTTTCAGTAGTATGTATATGTTTTAAGTAACCTTACATTTTGTAACATTACAAACATTAACATTTGATTTCTTCGTCAAAATCTAAAACACTTGAAATAATTATAAAATAATTAAACTTTTATTTTTTTAAGAAAAATATATTGATAAGAATATTTTGTACCATAAACAAAAACAAATTTTTAATCCAACAGTTCACTTATTATTACATCTCGGTAATATATATTGATATGATTAATATAAAATTAAATTGTTTCAAGTCATAAAGATATATGCTAGTACTACACTAATTCTTTGTAAAATTGTATGATTGCAAACGAATAGCCCCATAACTTTGAACACTGAATAGAAATATTTTGGTTATTTATTATTACTGAAATATATACCTATAAAAAATGTTTTAGTTACAAAACATTATGATCGATATATTCAAATGTCGAAAATATAGATAAAAATTGAATACAACAATTGGATATAGAGAATTAGAGAATAAATATATAAATACATAAATAATATTGTATACAAGTTAATTTATTTATAGGTTAGGTTTTCTTCTTTTTAATATTTTAAATAAAAATTTTTAAAAAATGGACAAATAGGCCATTGGACCATAACATTAAATTAACCTAATTCGCAAACTATGTTCAGACCCGTATTAAAAAAAAAAAAATGAATTATGCATGCACTTGTTTACCCAAAATAGTACATGAACTAACAATTTTAAAATCAACAAAGAATTCAAAATTACGTAAACGGCTTGAAAAGTTGAAACCTTGTAAGGTACCTAATAACTAATAAATAATAATATGCAAAAAAAATATAAAAATTGTACATAAATTCAAGTATTAGACTATATGTATCACATTTGGCCAATTATACAACAATAACACAAATATCCAAAATGCGCCAAGTACTTAGAATGGTAATGTCTTGAAATCAAATTTTTATCTTATGTATGCTGAATTCATAAAATATCCTAAATTATTTATTCACAGTTTTGCCTCAGAAGCAAGTTACACCCAACTGAATACAAAGTATGAAGTACACAAATGTGAAACTAAACCCTATGTAAATAGTTATCAAATCCCAAAAATGTACATAGATGTTTGTCTAGAACTCTTATATTATAAGAAAACACATCAAGACTTGATATACCATATAGGAACAAAATTATTCTAAAAATATTTTTTACAACAAAATAATGAAAGGGAATACAAATGTATTGAAATAACAAGGTATAAAATCTCTAAAAAATATTTATAGCTATTCTTAAAAGACAATGGATGTAATTAATAATAAGTTGAATTGATGATAAATTATGTTGAATGATTGTAAAAATCAATTATTAAAAGAAAAGTCATCAAAAATATAAAAACAATGGTTAATCTTCATCTTCATCATTTCCAAATTCTAACATTTTGTTTATTTTATTTGAGGCTGTTTTGAAATCCATGGATTGTTTGGTATTTCGTTTTTTATTGTATTTCATTTCATCTTCTAGTGTAATTTTGGGAGCTTTGACTCGCTTCAATGCTTTTGCCTCCATTGATTTACTCAGTGGGGTCGGAGGTTCACTAATGGCTGAAGATTTGGCGGTTGAATTCCATTGATGACTGAACAATGGAGGCGTCATACTTCTGGATTGGTCATTACCCGATGCTACACTTAATTTGCCGGGAGATGCCATAATATTATAATCACTGCCATCATCATAATCAGCATGGTCTACACCACCAAAAAGGTCCAATTCAGTTGATGAGCTGTTCGGGCAATGCACTTGTTTTGTTTTAGATTTATCTCCTTTCAACTTTTTATGTGTATCACCGTTCAAACTTTCATCACATTTCTTTGTTTTAGATTTGATTGCCTTAGCACTTTTTTTATTGTTTTTAGTGTTTTTAGTAAGGGCAATTGCTGACGCCGATACATTTTTTTTTTTAATTTCTGTAACAATGCTTACATGTTTTGCAGCAGTTTTATTTTTTGGTATTTGTGGCGATGTTTGCTTTATGGCTTTTACATGTTCTTTAGATTTGGAAAGTAAACTTGTTTTAAGTTTAGATTTGTCTACACTGTTATTGGTGGAGTTTATGGTTGTTTTCATTATAGATTGTTGCTTGGTATGGTTTTTTGTCACAGATGAGTTTTCTAGTGTACTGTTTTTTGATTTTGCTGCACTGCTACTATAACTGTTTTTTGAGTTATGTTTTGTACTGTTATTATTACTGATTGATGTTTTTTCAGGCGTTTTTGGCTTCAAAAATAGGTTTGTCTGTAATTTTAAAAATAACACATTAATTAGTGAATAAAACGATTAAAATTTAGTTAAAGACAAAAAGTTGTTATTTTGACTAGAAATAACTAAATAGGGGTTTATATGAAAGATTAATTTATACTCCTACGAATATTATATTTTAAGCATACAGTTAAGGGATGGTCAAGGAAGATTAGCTAAGAAGACACAAAGCTTAAATATTAGTACTCTGGTGAAAAATGTCTACCATAATAAACTTTGTATAAGTTATGTTTCATATTTTTTGTCAGGAAGTAAAATAAATGTTAATGGTATATAATGACCATTTTTATTGTGATATTAGAACTAGGGCTCAAATTTATATGCTCTAAAAACCTTTGAAATATGCCTTTATTTTGTAGAAATATATCCCTTAAAATAATAAATATGCCAAAAAAAAATATTTTATATTTATTAACCAATTGTTTTAGATTCTTATTGATTTTACAATGTTTTCATTCAAATTTCTTCAACACCATTTTTTCTGATAGGAAAGTGAATCTAGCTGGTACTTAGAGGGGTCAAAAGTAAAAAAATTCCAAATAGTTGTCAAAAGTGTTAGAAAAAACAAACAAAAAATTTGCTCACACAAGGATTTTTAGACATATGATGGTTGATAGAAATTACATATTTTTATTGAATGGTTGTAATAGTTACAGTAGAAATTAGAATTTTTTTGGTGTATAAACAATCACACAATTAGTTACTCGACAGATGAGACAAAACCATGCATCAAAATGCCATGTTTATCGCCTCAAATGAAGAAATTAGAACTCAAAACAAAAATAAGTTAAATCATAAAAAAAATGATTCAACTATATTAAGTTGGTCGCCTTTAGACTCAAAACCTACGTGATTGATTTTGACGAAAATTACAGATATTACTCTTATAGATATCAGAAATGATTAAAAACAACCAAGAGCTATATCTGAACTGGGTTACACTTAAGCTGAGATACACCAAAATAATGCTGTATTTTTCTCAAGTTATATAGTCAGGTTATATAGCTAGTACAAATATGAAAGCTAATTACTTAATAATATGAAAAGATTTTGAAACGCTTACATTATACAGAGTACATTTTTTTTAACTTTGATTTTTATTTCCACAATCTGTTACATAATATGTCTTGAGCAATGGATTTGATTTAATAATAGTAACAAAGTGAATTTACGAATTATAAAATGTAACTAATATATTTTATTTTGCCAATGACTGATACCAAAATTTAAAGTAAAATATGAAGTTATTGATCAAACAAGATACCTTGCAAGAACTAGTGCAGTACACATTACTAGTGGATCATAAATTATAAAAGTACATATTATTATTACACATTCAGTTTAGCTATAAAAACTAGTTAAATGTGATGGACAAATACATGATTCAGAACAAATTTAAAATATTAATACTGTGGTATTTTTGATAACTATTTATACTGTTATTCACACTACTACACAGATACATAAATTATGTTTTTAATATAAATTTATTAGAATAATTATACCTGTTCTTTTGACTGAGATTGTCTTTTTTTGTTTATTTGGATAGAATCGTTGACATTATTAAGCTTTTGTCGTTTGTGTGGATTATTGGATAGGTTCTGACTCATCTTCATTCTCAACAATTGACTTGGAGTTTCAAACATGGTAGGTTGTTTTTTTGGTTTTTTTGGTGTAGATGCTAGTAATAATGGTGCATGTTCACAGAATCTACGATGTTTAATTTTATTATGTTCAGTCTCTCCATATTCAGAAAATTTTCTTTTTATATTTGTTTTATTATTTGCTAGAGTCATATTTTTACTGTAAGTTGTTCCTCTTCGGGTCATACTTGCATCAAGATTAACGGCAGATTTTTTTATTGGTTTGCCAATTGGTCCTGCAGGAGAACTTATTGAAAAATCAAGTATATGTTTTGCTTTACTTTCAACCCCAGTTAGTTGTTTCACAATTTTTCTCCAAGTCCTTGGAATGCCATTGTTGGATAAGCATGTTTGATAAAGTTCATTAGGTGATCCCCCAATGATGTTGCCAACCAAACGGTATATTCCATTTTTAGTTTTGACTAAATTATTTTCTTTTCTGCCATCTAAAATGCCAGCATCGTGACGCTTTTCTACAACTGTCTGCTTATCTTCTCCCAACAAACTTCCTAAAATACAAATAATTTTGGTTGTACAAGGAATAATAAAAACACTTAAAAATATTATATTTAATTACCTGTTAAAATTAAAACATATTTTGAAATACTTGAGTGTTCTGATGATTTTATTACTTTCATATTTAAGGACCACATAGATAAGAATTTTTCAACATTTTCTAATACATTTAATTGATTATTATGATGTTGACTTGCATTACTTTTTTGCGTGGTCTCATTTTTATTTTCTGTTAATCCAACAATAATTTTAAATCCAACACCTTCAAGAAGTGATTCTATTGAATTATTGTCATCATTTATATTTTCATTTTGATGTGAATTAGATACTGATTTATTCTCTTCAAATGTTACATCAGAATATGTGTTACGTGCAGTTGGTTTATTTATTGATAAAGATTTAGATTGATGAGCAATTTCTTGAGTATCATTTTCTTCAACACTTACATTATGATTTTGGCTTACTTGAATAACTGTGGAACTCGAGGAAGGTGAATTGTGAGAAATACTGTTTGACTGTTCAATTCGAGATAGTACCACTTTAGGTTGCATACAATCTGGTGGTTTAAATGGATTTGAAAGTTCCCTAGGTTCAATGGAATGAAAATTGTTATCTGGTAATCTCAATGCGCTATGGTCGTTAGAACTAACCATTGACATAGTTGTTTGTGGTCTATAATTAAAGCTCGTAGATGGCCTGTAATTGAAACTTGCTGATGGCCTAGCATAAAGTGGAGCAATGTGTGATGAATTGGTAATCCGAGAGACATTAGCACCACTACGATGCCCATCAATGATAATGCGTTTTACGCGTTTTAAAAACATATTAAATTCGATATCAAATTTACGATAAGGATGAACCTTCAAAAATTCATTCAACACACTGTGAAGTGCAATAGTTTTTTCTTCTATTATGTCTTGAAAAAGTAAAGCTTCAGATTGAGAAGGATAAACTGGAGGTGCCATAGGCATTTTAAATGTTGAATCAGTTGTACTTGTTGTTTGGTTGCTCATCTTGAATTAGTATGACTACAAAAAAAAAAAAAAAAAACAGTTAGGTATACAAGTTATATAAACAAATTAAGAATGAAATATATATTTTGAAAAACAAATTATACCTAGCACAGTTCAATTCTAAGTACTTACTGAGGCTTTATACTTTTAGGAGCTCAAATTTAATTAATTACAATATAAATTTCAAACCACATTAGGTAAGTGCCCAAAAAATGAGTGTCCAGTTAAGTATAAAAGTTCCCAAATACCCACAAATAATATAAACTTATTTGAACTACAACCAAAAAATGTAAAAAAGTTGTACTTCTATGTTTTTAATTTGGTTTATGTATGAACTATTTATAAGCCATTTTGAACTAAATTCTTTAATAAGATTGAACATTTTTAAATTTTGTGATTTTCACAAATTTTAACTTTGAATGCTTAGGTATAAAAATATATGTGGTAAGTATAATGCTCTTTTTTTTTAATTTCGGTAAAAACTGCTTACAAGAAATATGTTATTTAACTTTTAAGCTTTTTAATAGCTCAAAAAGTTTCAAAATCATGCATGTATAATTTCCTAAATATAAACAATTGATGATTTATCCTCAGTTGTTCGTTTTTAATTAGAGCAAAATAAGAAAATCAATTAAGTCAACAATTTGTTTAAGGTAAATAACTTCTGTTTCCCAATTATTTAGAGAAGTTCTGAGGATTTGAATGTTGACCTCTCAAAAGTACAAACTAGATTCACAAATTGAAAATCAAAGTTTCTACTATACATTTTATATACACACACACAAATAGTAATAATTAACATATTAAGTACATCATTATATTCATTGCTCCACTTGGAATTTAAAATAGCTGCTAAAAAAGATCCTTCAAGAATAAGTTTTCATACAGTAATTAAAAAATATCCAAGGCACATAGTCAGTGCCGTATTTCCCAGTAAACACTATAAGCTAGTGCTTAGGGCGGCAAATAATTTTTAATATTACATTTTTACTATATGTAACTAGAACTAAAATAAAATGAAACTACCTAATTATAAAATGTTTTTAGGCCAACAGGATTGTGGTAATATTTATATTTTATGTTTTCCAATTTCATAATCGTAGAGTTTTATGTTTTTATTGTTCATCATTAAAATTTTAAGTAAAAAATAAAAAACTATAATTGTATGCTTTAATAACATTTTTTAGACTAGAAAAATATTTATATTAAAAGGTGGCAAATTATTTAGTGCTTAAAGCGGCACAATGGTTAAATCCGGCACTGCACATGGTGGTAATTTTTTTAAGTGATTTATATTCAAATGTTAAAGAAATTGGATAACAATCTTTAAGAATCTACTGAATGATAAGGCCAAGTCAAAATATCCTATATAGCAGTTATTTTCTCGTCTTTTACAGAACTAGGTGACATATATTTAGGTTTATTATGTATACCAAGATTCTACAAAAGCACTCTTTAAATAGTTGGATTAAAAAAATGTATTCATTACATTTTTTAAAGCACATTATAAAGTGACGTGCTCGCAATATTATGATTTATGATATAAATTATAACTTACAAATTATGATTCAGCAGTAACAGTTTTAATGTATCAATTATTATAAATTAAATTCGATCTACCTACAGTATTGTATAATAAATTCCATGTTCTGTTAATGATGATCGTTGTCGAAAATAAACTTACTTCTATATTATCGAAGGTGGTTGTTCGGAACGACGAGGATTCGACGGACTATGTACTTGAGGGCCTCAACGGCTATTTCTTCGTTCAGGGCCACCGAAGTATTCAGTACAGAACCCAAGAAGTGGCCATAAACAAAATAAATACGAATAATGGAGCATGCATTACATCTGTAATAACAGGGAACACGAAAAAAATTTGTTTAGAGTTACGCCGGCGGGCGATTTCAAAAAAGTTGATTGTGAAAACGCGGGACGGCGAAGCGGAGACTGTACATAAAACTACTGGTAAAATATCGAATAAATTACGACGAAATTTCAAAAATTCAAACTACCTGAAAAAACCACAATCAGTCGTTATAAAATGAGACAAAAACATAATAAGAATTAGGAAGGCGCTGGGCCAATGGCAATACGCTGAGCAGCTGCAGTGCTACCAATCGGCCGGCAGTGTTTCGGATACCGTTTAAATACGTTACCGTTTGAAAAGTGATTTCACTATTATAGATAATAATATAATTATTTATACATAGAAGTATCACAGATTATTACATTAAAATTATATTAATTATTTTTTATTATTTAATATAATCTGTGGAAATATGGCCAGTGGATTTTCCACTTTGTTCAACGCTATAATAATTGTACATTTTATTATTTTCGGATTTGAGATTTCTGTATTTCGTCAAATTCTGTATTAGCTCCTTTTGAATATTTATTACTCATTACGTCATTTTAGTGCATGGTTATTACATATAAGTGCAAGTGCAATCACTAAACACCGAGATTTAGAATAATCTCTGTGGAGCTATTAAGCAGATATGCCGATTGCCTGCCTTTTTATTGTATTTCTGTGTCTATCAATTAGTACAATAGTACCTATCAACCATAATATTGTACCACAGAATAAATTAACTGTACTTGTATAGACTGCACTTTGTACCGTCGATGGACAAAACCAGTAAAAAATAAAAGATAAAGGCTTGTAATCTGTAGTTGCCGCCGGGTTCGAATCCGGGAAGTTGGTAAAAATCGAAAAATAATTTCGTATTAGGTTTTCCAATACTCGTATAAATTGTCATTTTTCGTTTATTCCTTTTCTCTCGGAGTTTAAACTGATTAAGTGAGCACCTTAAATTAAGATGTACCTTGTAGTTTGTACAAATACTCATAGGTATAATATGTTTATAGTTCATCCATCCTTTAGGTTCACTAATTACAAGGTGTATCTGTGCAGAATGACCTGACAAATTAATTAATTTGTGTTCTACATTTCTAACCAATGATCAAATAATTTTTTTGAGATAGTTGCTCTACACAAGCAGTACAAAATAATTTATTTTATTTTTTAGTACTGAAACATACTGAAAATAAAAAAGGAAAAACTTTATTTAATAATTTTTGGGAAAATTCAAAACAGCCAATTATGAAATCTAATTTTTATAATAATTTTGACGATCTGTAAAAACGTTTATTTGAGTCAAGTATGTCAAGTCTATTTTTTGGAATACCTAAATTAATTATATAAAATTCATTAACCATTTATGATTTTCATAATTTTCCATACGTTTAACTATTACAGAAGTATTCAGTTTTCAATTGTCGGGTCTTTTTGTTATAGGTTTTAGGTACTAGCTATAAGTCTATAACCCAACATCGCCGTGAAAAAAATTAACCATGCTATTATACATCTGCTATTATTGCTCTTTGAATGTATATTTCTGAACGTTGTTCAAACTTGAAACTACTCTCTAAACTTTCTTGATATCTATAAGAATAATCTCTGAAATTTTCATAAGAATCTATCTAGTAGGTTTTGTTTATAGTCTACTATAACTTATAAGTGTCCCACCAACATACATAATATAGAAGATTCATTTTATAAATAAACCTTCATACTAAGATACATAGGTATACAGAGTGATTTTCCAAGCATACCCAACCCCCTTTTTTTTCTCCAATTATACAGTTATTCAAAATCTGATTTTTTGGTAACGGTCCAATATGTGACCTACAGACTGATTTACGGTCCAACACGTGACCTACGTCATAAATATAAAATACGAATAATTTTAACTAACCTTCTTTTTATTCCACTTCTCAGTGTCGTCAATAACTGCATTGTTTCAGTCCGTATTGTTATGAAACGTCTTTTTCATATCGGTCAAAAAGGCATCAAAAATGGTTTTTGGATTTTGACACGATCTCCACCACTCTTTTTGGAGTTGTCTACCTATCTAGTAAAGGAGACACCCCATTCTTTGTAATATTATATTTGGATTTTATAATTCTCCATAAGCCTTCAATTTGTCGAGTGTGTGCTCCTGTTTCCTTGTCAATAAAAAATCCTGAATGGTTAACTGTTTGATTAATATATCCATGATGATTTAATGTTGAGTAGGTACGCTCTCCACTATAAATTGTCGTTCCAGTTTTTATTTAATTTTTAATAATTTGTAAAAGAGTTTTTTATATCCGGTTTTTTTACGATAAAAAACCGCCGTTCTAGTAATAAGTCTGGCCGTTTCCAACAAATACCAAATACCCACGGGCCTATCATATGATTCCCGTAATTTTTATTTGTATGTAGGTAATTCTTGAGTTATTTAATTTCGTGTTCTAAGAAAAAAAGGTTCATAGTAATGAGTTAATAAGATATAGGGACTATAGTGATTTGAAAATAGTAGGTACCAAGTCATTAATATTAATCTATCGAATTAATAATTTGTAAAAATAGCCCAAGTATAATGAATACTATTTTTTTATAGATCCGCTTTATGTCTATTTTATATTTATGTAAAACCAGTTGTAAGGACTATTATACTTAATACAAACATTTTAATAACGAAGAAAATACTCATTCGAATTTTGAATGTGGTACATCAAGATTTTTAAAACAATTAACCACTAACTAATTTACTGTAAAAGAGTATATCACCACAAGACACTCCTTATTAAGTAGTACAAAAAAAAAATCAAGAATTTGAAAATATGGTCTTTGAGTATAGGTATTTAAAAATTCCAAAAATCAGAATTTGGATAAATTAATAAATGAAAATATGGGGGTGAGCGTGTTTGGTGAATGTTTATTATACCTATTTTATAAAATGTATTAGTATAATTATTTCCTTATTTGTGGGCCGCATAAACGTGACGATTTGATCATAGAACAATAAATGCATGCTTTTACCTCATCTACCCGAGTAGTCAATGGGCAATGACAACAAATATTAATTTCTACTAATAGATACCATAATATACTTATATAAGCGATGAACACAATGTCAACTATTTATAAACAAAAAAAAATTGTCGATTTATTGTGATAATCATAGATCAGTTTATTTATGATATTAATTAAAATCTTTGTGTGAACTGTGAACATCTCTTTAAAATTCGAATTTTGAAAAATCCTTTCTTAGTGCACCCTTACATGGTGAACGGTGGTTCGAAGGTACCGGACAATGTCAAATCTTCATAGCTGTCAATGCTCTCATAGATTAGGCACTGCACTACGTTGATCAGTCAGTCAGGATACGTTCGATTATTTAATATAAAGATGAATCATGTATGATGTATGATAGCCGATAGGTACCTAAAATAATTATTATGAGTCCTCCTTGCACACAATTTGTATATTAAATATCTTGTTGGTTAAAAAAAATGAGAAATGCAGGTTCTTACTTCTCCACAAAAATGTGTTCTGAATTTTCAATATTGCATAAACGATTAATTCTGCATTTTTGCAGTAATTATTGATAGTTCCTACTAAAGCCACTATTACAATCATTACACAAACGAATATGGAAAGATCAGAATATTTGTACTGCTCTCAAGTGAATTTGTTAGTGTGTTTTCTACTTTCACTTTAAAATTTTATTTCTAAAAATTTAAATATTATTTATTTATGGGTTACTAAATGAAAAATTGATGCTATTAAGTAGGTAACAAATAATAATAATAATAATAATATAAGAAACGGATTTAAACTTTTTTGGGCTTATACAGTTTACAATATGAAGTTCATATTTTGTAAATAGTCTTTCAAAGAAAATAACAACTATCTTAATTATTTAATTTGAAATATGTTCAGATATGTATTTATTGAATGAGATTTGTTAAAACCATTACAACTGTATTTTTGTGAATAGAATATAAATATTATAGGTAACCTCGTACTCAGTGCCGGTGTGAACTTTGTTCCTATGAAGCAACTACCTAAAATAAGTACCCACCCACCAATTTTTTCACACTGCACTTTATTTTTCACACATTTTAAACTCAGGTCTTATGTGATTATGTGAGAGTAAATTATGGATTAGTTTAGCACCCTAGATCCTGGAGACTGGAGTCATTGAGATACCCATCCCCACTTGTCTATAAGGCGGCTGCCTCATAATAAATGTATTCACGCAGCCTCTGATTGTACAGTTGTATCTGGTAAGTGGTAGGTAGTGGATACCCTAACCTTAGTTACCAGCTGCTTTATTATTTCAATTATTGAAATACTTAATACTATATTTGTTCTTGTTATTACTATAATAGTCTGTGAGACTGTGAAGTATTATATAATTATAATTTATAAAGAGTATAATATTAGTATTAGAGTGTCTATGTCTAAAATTCAATAAATTAGCTTTATTATAGTAAAATCCAAATAAAATTATCATGTGTCAAACTTTATAAACGTTTGAAACATAATCACATAGTATGTAACAATATATCAATAAGATATTTTTTCACAATATTAATAATTTATCTTAAAATTCTATTCATCCATTCATCTTAAAATATCTATTGATTGTTATTTTTAGTTTTACCACTTTAGTGGTAAATTATATGATAAATGTCCGTCAGACCATATAAACTAAATTTACATTTTGTTGTTATTACTAGGTAATCATTTTTATTTTACCTAGGTTCTAGGTAACATATGAAAAAATTGAACCAGTTCCAACACTTAAAAGGATCTAATAAAAGCAAGTCACCTTTAAGTCAAGTTGTATAAAGTTTTATTTAACTTCTGAAAACAAATAAACATAGAAGAATTAACAGGGTATTTTTGTCTTAAATTATTTATATTATGTATAAAAGAATTTTTGGTGGTCACACAATAGAAAAAAAGTTACATACATTTTTTTTGATAGGGAGGGTTTGGTTTTTATATTCCGCTAAATATAATATTAATAATTTTACTTTTTATTCATAGTCTTTGTACGAATAAATTAACAGTCTTATAATAAAAGATTAGTGATATTATAATGATAGGAAAAAAATTGTGATTGACATCATTTTTTTTTCTATATTGTATTTGTTTACAACTGCAGATAACACGTGCAATAATATTACTAAAGATGGAAATGG